CATCAGGAGGCTGAACCCTCAACAGTCTGCAGAATCCCCTCACTGATTACACTGTTATATATGTATATATGTAGTCAAACAGAGCTGCCCGGTATACTGTAGGCAGAGTGGGAGAAGAGGACAACAAACGAGGGGCTGTGACAAACTGTTTCGTCACAGTTTCACCGACTCATCAGGAGGCTGAACTCCAGAAAAACACCCACACAGGTGCCCTTCTATTCTGGGGGGTGTCAGTCTGTTTACTAATTACCGGCAAGCAACAAAATGGTGATCAAACTGCAAAGATTCCCATGGCTCCACAGGGCATGTGGTGGCCACTTGCAGCTGGGAGACTCCCACAGGTACCCAGTCACACTACAAGTTTATTCACCACGCACTGAGGCCAGGTTATTATACTCCATATATGTCCATCCCTGTCCTATTCTGCTTCCATCCTACACTTCATCTCTTATTCTCCTCACTTTCAATCCATTCTAGCCTCTATCCATCTGCTCTTCTTTCCTTTCCTTCCCCTTTGCATGGCGTGACCTTTGTTTACATTCTTGTCCCCTCAGATTCCCTTCATATTGAAGATATGTATCCCCCTACCTTGTCAATTCCAAGTACAGTTGGTCGTTCGCTATACCCGGCCCTTCGCCATTATTCTCTTACTCCCTTAGATGCTGTCTCTGTCCTACAGCTTATCAATTTGTTTCTTACTAACCTTAATTGTTTGTTTGTTTGTTTGTTTGTTTGTTTGTTTTTTGTTGTTGAAGAAAACCCATTGTGCATCCTCACGGAGAACCGTCAGGATCGAGGGCTTATCGGTCGGGCTGTTCCATCTATTGGTGGGAGCGACACCTGATGGAAACCGGGTCCAGAGTCCCATTGATTAATAATTGTTTCTTCCTCCCTCCCCACAGTTCCTTTTGGTACATACTACATATTCATCCAGTGGCACACCTTCATATGTTCTGAGAAGCTGTTTCTCCTAACTTCCGCAGCAATTTACCCCGCCCCCCAACAGTTGCTTGTCCACTTTTCTGCCCTCAGCTGGGGGGGGAGGGTCCAAACTTGCATGGACTGTGCCAATCTCCGTGATCGATGGTCAGAAAGGAAGAATCCGGACAAGCAAGGGGCGAAGAAGCAAGCCTTCGCCCCTTGAGTTGAGCACACGCTTGCTCTCTGCAACCCACACAAGCACGAGGAAAAAGAAGTAGTGTGCGGGTGAGGAAAAGCTCTTTCCATATTGAAGACCATGGAGTGCGGCATGGTGGCATAGTCAACCAGGCAGGAAGGAGGAAAGGAGGAGAAGGTGCCACACAGCCAGGATCTGCTGGATGTGCAGAACCCCAAGCCCATGTCCTACACCTGCAGGTACAGAGAACTAGGGGCATTCTGACAGAGCCGCCTCGTCCTCTCCCATTTAAGGGGCTATTTTTATCCTTCGCCCTAAGGCTTCTCTTTTCTTCTTTGGCCTGGTCGGGTCGAGAAGCGCAAGCTCTTGGAAAGCTACCGGTTTTGTGGTGTGCAGATCCCATAGGTCCCCCACCCTTAGTATCCCGTGCTTGACCAGCTCCTCCAAAGGGAGGCTGAGCTGCACATTACTTGGCCCTATGTAGTTGAATCCACCAGTTACCAAATAATGGCTGCCCGAACACTTCCTCCCATCGAGTGGGAGGGGACTGTTCGGGGAGGCCAGCACACGCCAGTCAGTGGCAATCACGCCATGTTTTGATTTTCCCACGCAGGAAAGGTACTAGTGGTTTAAGGGCCTCGTTAGACCCTCCTTGGGAAGGCGATTTTCAGGAATTCGGTGTGGTTACACTGCGTCCTAATTCTCCAAATTCCTTGGATAAATGTGAAAACGCTCCCGAGAGATTTCCTTGGGTTCCTCATAATCACCGGCCAAAGCGTCCTTGGATTCAAGGGGCCCTCGCGAGGTCCCTTGGGCTCAAGGAGCCGCGATTGACGGGTCGTCATGGAGTGTGCGTCGACACCGAAAATTGGAGTTGTTCATGGTCCACAAGTCGTCCGTGGTCCATCGGGCGGACAACATCGGCTTCCAGCAGGCAACAGGCCCCCAACGGCGTTGTGTCGTTACCGTTGGCGCGTCGAGGGTCGGGGGGCGGTTCTTCGGCTGCGACGCCGTTCATGTGGCGGGGTTCTCCTTGCACGCGTCGTCGGGCGTGGTGTCCAACGGTCGACTTTTTCAAAATTTATTTTGTCCCTGCCGTGTGAGCAGCGCCGGCCGACTGCTGTTCTCCTCGACATCGTCCATTGCCCGACATTGACATGCGCGCGGGAGGGATCTCCTGTCGGTGCAGAGCGACAACTGCTGCGATTCATGGCAGACGTCCTCCGATGGCTCCCGCTCCTATTACTGGCCACTCTTCTCCTGCTCCTTGTCGTCTTGTTGCGTGCCTGTGTCGCTGTACAGGGTCCTCGTGGCAGACGGAGACGACAAGTGGCAGCGAAGGCGACAATGGAAAGGCGGGAGAGCTCCGCCGGACAACACAGACATGCGATAGAATTCTCCATTCATGAGCGGCCGGTGTCGGGCCATCGTCCACCCGCATATGACCCCACGTTGTACAGTCATCTCCCGCCGCACCAGCAACTGCTACCGCCGGATCCGGAAGAGGAATGGGTGGACGATCTGTCCCACACTCTTCCTCTGGGGAGCGGATCTACGCAGGACTGGATGGGGAGGCACTACCAGCAAAGGGAAGCAGGGACTAGTCATCAGTCGTACTCGGCAATGCTGGAGGGGGGTCTTGACGGTGGCGATATGGAGATTGTGGATTTGGATTTCGGCTTGTCAAGCGGGACGCCTGGAGTGGGTGCTAACACTTGTGCATCGAACCACGTGGGCGCCACGACCGTCGGGCAAACGTTTGTGAGTCGGGTGGGAGTGGCGGGGGTAGGTGGAAGATCCTCCGGTGCGGGTGGCACGGCAGATGGGTGTCATCCAGCGCCCTCCATTTGTGGAGGCGTGGGACCAGCTGGCGAGCCGCTGAGGGCAGTGTTACCCAGGGTTGTCAAGCCCCGGCCCCGGGGCCCCGGCGGGGGTCCCGGGGGCCGGGGGTCGGCACCCCTGGCCCCCGCAAAAAAAGCGAAAAAAAAAAATGAAAAAAAAAAATCCAAAAAAAAGAAAAAAAAAGAAAAAACTACAGGGGGGTGCGCAGCCGCAGGCTGCACCCCCTGGGCCAAACTGCAATATTGCAGTTTTGGCCCAACTTCAGGCCCCCCCCGGGGCTACACCCCACCCTTATGAGCCCGGGGTAGTGCGGGCGCGGGGCCAGGGGCGGAACTCAGCGGGGTGCGGAGCCGGGGCTCAGCAGGGTGCGGGGCCGGGGTTGGCTGGCAGCGGGGGCGGGGGTGTGCGGTCGGGGCAGGGGCGGGGGTGAATGGGCGG